TAATCTAAATCTAACAATAATCTAAAAAAAAAAAAAATTGTAGGCCGATGGATGGCCAAGTGGGCATTTATTTGTTCAGGCCTCAAAAGTTCCACGTCGGTCACAACACAATACATTATACCGCACCATGCCTATTCTGATGCATTCTTTTGCATTTAAGTATCTTCAGTGAGCAGGTGGTGAGAGATCATTGTGACGGATGATGTAAAACACAGCTCTAAGCACTCAGGGGGGTGCCAAAGCTATTAAGGTCCTCTCTTATTGGCAGGACGTCCAGTCATGTGACGATATTGCCGCTGATTAAAACCCAATTAGAGCAGCTCAGACCCAATTAAGGAACAAGTGTCATAACCAAAAGAGACTGTATGCATTATGGTAATAGCATGGGATCCGGAGGAAAGCACAGATAATGGTTAGCTAACAGCAGGAAGCAGCCTCTGAAAGTCAATGTAAAGAGAGTCTGCAGGATAAGAACTAACTATGCAAACAGAATATCAGACATGCATGGTTCTAGGGACTGCTGTCACTTATGATTATAATTGTGAAGTGTTTAAGACAAAGACAAGTGTTGTATAAGAAATCCTTCACTTTTATTTTTTCTTAAAATAAGCCTAGTCATGAGCTTTCACTACCACTCTCTTCCTAATGATTTCAGGTGAATGTGTGCAACTGTTGTAGCTTTATTTGATCTACAGTGGTCAAAATCATACATAAACATATTTTTCCAGATAAATTATTGCCAGCTTAAATGGTTTTCCATAGTCGGATATATCAAACAGTGGAAATGTGCCCAAAACAATTTTGAAACCTAAATAATGCATCCTATTTTTGCATTTTAAACCAGCTATGTCAGTACACGCTTTTAATTATTTATTATGTATGCACTTTCTATCAATGCTTGGTCTAAACAACCTCCTTCTTTCATCTGGGCAGTGTGGGTCATAGCAGTGACTCCCCCACCAATATCAGGATCAAATGTGCATCCATGTTATTTGACTAATGAGACACGCGGGCTGGCCAGAGTACGGTGCATTTAAATGATTGTTTTCGACCACGACAGGGATTGTCTATGTTTGCGATTGGACGCAGGAGCATTTGACGGGTCAGCACAAAAGCCTGTGTAAAGCCTTTAGCTGATCAAAAATAAAAACTACTTCAGACAAACGGTGTGGTATACTTAAGAGGAGTTTGTCAGTTGCAAATCCCATGAAAGAGAATATTCACATCAAAACTACTTTGAATAAATGAGCCGTAAAACTGGTCTCATTGCATACCTGCACATTTTCTGCAACTCAAGCCCAGCTCAAATATTATTTCAACCACACAGGCTCACAAGTAGCAAAAGTTCAGCTATTTCAGCAATGACGACTCCTGAGAGAATACAGTTTTTTCATCTTCAACGTTAGTCTCACAGTGGGTTATTAATAGACACCAGTGATTGTAGGTGTATAATTGCTGTTTTTATGAGCTGCACTGACACAAGAGTATAACTGACATGCATTGGTTCAAATCAGGGCAGAGATAGCAGGTAACTTTTAATTCAACAATATGTATATTATGATTGATTGACTTTTGAAGTTAATTCTTGACTTGAAGCTGGGGGACTCGAATTCCACACCACAACAAAGAGAACTACGTTAAACAACAACAATATATCTTTTTATTTAAATTTAAATGCAAATATTAATTTATTTGAGAAGAACAAGTTATATTATTGTTAGTATCCATTCACTGACTTTACATGTAGCATACACAAACCACATGTATAGACACATTCACACATCCATCCATCCATCCATTTTCTACAGCAATCAGCTGCCACACAATTCATAGTGCACCAGCCCCTCACTGATCCTCCAGCAGGTGGTGTCCACTGGAGGATGGCTGCTCTGTCGGTGACGTTACAGCCTTGATCTTTCAGTGGGGGCTTCAGGCAAAGTGTTGTTAAGTGTCCTGCCCAAGGACACAACAACAGCAGACATCAGTTGGAGTCGGTGGAGAAGGTCTCGTGGTGGGTTTGAATTCACAGCTTTCAGGCTCATAGGCCAATGCTTTGCCAAATGAGCTACTGTTTTGGTAGTTTGTACTTGTTTTCATAATCCATGTGTGAAAAAGAGAGACACTAAAGCATCCAATAGTGACTAGTGAAGTATGTGAAAGATAAAACATATTCTGATATGACAAAGACTGATTTGGTTAAAATATCATAACTTATGAAAAAATAGAAGTTAGGTAAATCCATAGATGGACAATTCTAAAAGGGAAGTGCTCATGGACACTATGGCTCCTGTTGACAACATTAAAAAGTAAACTCCTCTAGCTCAGTGACCGCTTGTGTCACACTCACTCTTATGGGCTTGAAAATGCATGATTGAGTTTGATCCTACTGTTTATAATCTGTCTATAATGTCTTCGTTTATCCAGACACTGTATGAGCCCTAAAAACTGACCAATCAGGAGCCAAATTCAACATTAGCAAGAAACCACCTGCCGACCTGGCCTCACATGTTGTACATCTGTGCAATGACTTGAACTAATGTCAGAATGTGCAATATGAAACCACATGTGTTTACTGTCCCTTTACTTAAACCATCTGTGCAATAATAATTTCAATAAGGTCAGAATGTGCACTAGAATCACATGTGTCTACTTAGTCACTTTGTCCAATACCCTCTCGCTGCTAACAGGTACATGTTCTGGAACAGTCTTCCTGAAGATGTGAGACAGGCCTCCTCTCTGACAATGTTTAAAACCAGGTTAAAGACGGTTCTGTTTAACTGTGCATACAACTGAGGGATTTTATATTTTTATCTTTCTTTTTAATGTTCTGTGATAATTTATGATTTTAATGCTTTCTTGTTTTGTTCAGCACTTTGAATTGCCTTGTGTATGAATTGTGCTATATAAATAAACTTGCCTTGCCTTGCCTTGCCATGTTTCTTGCACTAGAATATACAGTACTTTATTCTTGCTTCTTCATTAAGATAAAGTTGGAGATTTTAGATTTTCTTCTTTTTAATTCTAAAGTTAGATGTTTCATTATATTTTATTTTAATTATTATTCATGTATCTGCTGTGTGCTCCACCAAAAATCTTTATTCATCCAAATGTGAGATGAATAGAGGATCTCTTAATCTTAATATTAATCTTACATTTGGATCAACATTCTCGCTCAAAGGCTACTACTATGAATCCCATCAGTTCTTGGTCAGTCCACTCCTAATAGTCTATGGGTCCATCATATCCATGGTACACAACCATTGAGCTAGATGATTTTGTAAAGAATACCTTAAAAACCAAAGAAATGATGAACCTCTGTCATGAAAAATCCAAGAATTGTGAGACAGAGAACAACGAGAAGTGTCATTGATCATGTCTTGTCAACATTGCATTTCTGAAGTTGAATCATGGAGATGACTTAAAACATTGTGAAAGCTGTCATCAAAAGGAGACTTGATTTCAAGATAACTAAGATACTAGACTGGTTTGTAATGGTTGACCCGTCGGACACACTATTTGCCAATTAAGCAAAGATAGAACAGAAAACTTGTTATAGATTTGTCAACCCATGTAGCAGTAATGTGCAGCTGCAGTAACCAGCTGTGTTCTGCATTCAGCACTGAGACTGTGCTGCTCCACTAGCAACTCAGCCTAATTAGGCTCAAGTCCATATAAAGCATCACTGTAACAACCATAGAGTAATGTGGCAGGTGAGCGAAGCCAAACAAGCATTCAGACCGACCATGAATTGCCATAGTATAACTTGAGTCTCGCAAGACAGGGACAGCACCTTGGCTGAAATGTGTTGTGCACTGGGTTACCTTGAGCATGGATACTGAAATTGATGTGAGCGGCTAGAGTGTGCGAGATTCACAACTGTAAAATAGTTAGATAACAAGGCATAAATCAGATGGGAATGTAGATCATCAAGAGAGAGGCATGTGTGTAAATGATCCTGCATCCTTAAAACAAAGAGAAAGATGTAGGTCAGGAAATAACTGGAATTGTTCTTTAACTTATTACCCTCAAAATGCAAGTGAATGACAACAGCCTGATCAACCTTCGACACAACAATGTATCGATGAAACATAACAAATGAATGGGATGTTATTCATTCAAGAAAAAAAATTCATTTCTTTTTGTTAGACACAATTGTGTCTGGTGGTCTAAAGCTGTGTACCTTACTAATCTGTAGAGTAAACACTGGCTCAATGAGCTTCAGAGAAAGGTTTATGCATTGTTTCACTTTCACTTTTTGCAATGCCAAGTATTCACAATCACTTGCCATGACTTACATGTTTATTACAAATAAAAATATATAAATCTATTTAATTTTGAACTTGACAATGCATTTGTCAAGTTCAAAACTTTCTTTAAATATATGTTTAATAAAAGTAACCATTCTTGTTTTTTTGTTTTTTTTCGAGCAAATAAGTGTACAAGAAACAAAAGTAGTGAGTTACATTTACATAATACAACATTATAAATATGATATACACAATAGAAACAATTGCAGATACTCGAAAGTGTTTTTCTTGTGTATATAAATAGTTATATTGTCGTCATTAATTTATCAACGATGTTACTGCACATGTATTTAAGTCTATTTGAGGACACATTTAATTGCTAATCTTTTTAATGAATCTAATCATTAGTATTAGAGCTGGTGCAGTGGATGGACAGTTGTCAATGAGGTCATTGGTCTAATCTATGTTTACTTCCTTTCACTTCTATGACTGGTTGGAGGAAAGCCATTGGAGATGTTTCATAGGTCAACCAATCCCTGCAGAGCTACTTTGATAAGAATGGAGAATACCGTAGGGGACAGATACACCTGCATGTTTTACTAATGAGGCCTAGTAGGAGAGACAGCCATACAAACAAACTGTTTAGCAAATCAATGGTGCATGACGAAATTGAAGAAGGGAATGCTCTAGATGACATGGCTGAGCTGGTTGTAGAGAACATGCTGGACATATGAGCTGAGTCTGATGTCTTACCTTCACTGCAGTCCTTGCCCTGGAAGCCGGTGTGGGAGCAGTCACAGGTGGGCTCTTCGTCAATCAGGCTGCACACTCCTCCATTTAAGCACATGTTGGCACTTCCACACGCATCCTGCAGCACGCCGTCACTGTTGACCAGCAGAGCCTCAGTGCTGTTCACAGTCACATTGGTTATCCACCCTGTGAACGGCGGCTCGTCCTTCACCACCACAGATGTGAGCCTCAGGGCGACAGAGCGTAACTCCGGAGGAATCCCCCCAACGAACAGGTGACTAAACACAGTCATGTCCCTCCGTTTGGACTTCACCTCCACCCATTTTGCTTCACCGTCCACGACCAGAGTAGTGTTCTTGAAGTTTCTCCGTATTGTGACGCTGTGCCACTGGCTGTCGTTGACCGCGGTGTCAGAAAGGATGGAGGCGGGCTCGGCACAGAAGATGGAGAAACGAAGGCTGAGTTTACCATTGACTATAAGCAGCTCTAAAAAGTCACAGAATCCCTCGTCATCAAAGTAAACCACCAGCCCCTGGGAGCTCCTGGTTTTCATGTTGAAGCTCATTTCACTCTCACAGCAGGCATTCCACACGGGAAACCTGGCCCACTGTCCCTCAGCTCCAGAGAACTCCAGACAACAACTCATCTCAAGCAAACAACACACTACAAGACCCACCCATAGGGCATGGGTGCCACTGGGCTTTTGCAGAACCATTGTGAGCTCAATACCACTAAATAACAGCTATTAAAATGGATTTACACCAACTTAATATTTCCAATAAGTAAACACTCTATAAATTGTCTATCTGGAGAAAAACACCAGTGTTAACAGGTAAATTTTTAAACAAATCATTAAATATTAGGTTTGTGCAAAGCAAGATTCTTTGCCACCACTTGTTCCCTGGAGCAAATCTCATTACCTCACACAGGCCACACTACTGCCAAAGCTCTCACTGCTTGCTCCAGAACTCTGGGCTCTGTCTAAAGGTCCTCTCTGCCATGGGTGTTTACATCAAAATGAACGACACTCAAAAATCCATTGGCACAGTTGTTCTAATTTGTGGAATGGGGAAGTGTCTCTTCTGGTGCCAGTCACTCGAGGTTAAGTGGCAGCTTCATGTTCATGCCTCCTTTTTTTGGTCAGGATCTAGAAGCCTCGCCTGGGGCTCTTCACCCTGCATCCTCTGTAAAAAAAAAAAAAAAAAAGCCATATGTAGCCAACTTGACGTGACAGGAAAGGCAGGCTGTCTGTCAGAGCACTCCTCAGTCCCAATGCACGCTGGAAGAGTGGAAAAAGACAGAAAAAAACAGTGGTCTTTTAGACTTGTGCGTTGAATGCTTCTGGCCAAGACCTTCATCATGCATCCCCTCGAAACACTATCATCACTCTAATCACAGTATTTAGGTACACTCCTTTGAAATTTACTCCACGCAGGCCTTTGTGTTTTCCCAAACCATATCATTAGATTCATATCAGGCTTTCCCACACAGCTGCACAGAAAACATCCATCTCACAAAGCAGCCCCTGTATCCACACATGCACCAACAAATTGAAACCCCCAAACATCACGCACCCCATCAATCACTGATCCTGACTCCCAATATATTTAAACATATTGCTTTTTTAGAAAACCGCGGTTTGCCTCTGTTTTAAAACTCGGAGTAGTGCATGGGGTATCAACATGACTCCCGAAAGTGCATTTATTTTCAGCGAAGGCATTTCTATACGTGCGCGCAATAACGAGCATCTGTAGCGTGTGAGAAAGTGCGTCATTCGCTTCACAATGCCCGGTCTGTGTGATCCGGAGCGGCGAGTGGGACCGCTGCTGCTGCCTTCCACAGTCCGCTGCCTGCTCCATTCTGTCTGCCTCATCACTATTCCCCTCTCGCCCCTGCTTCCAAAGAGTCTAACATCTCTGGAAATATTACACAGCAACAAACTATATTCAACTGTTTGATTAAGAATCCTAACATTGTGTGCAACGTGTTGGTACAAATTCAATGAGTTGCATTGGGTGAATCTAAGTTACAGCGTTTCATTTGCAAAGCTGGACATGGTCACTTGCGCACACAAAAACACACGACGAATTATCATAACCATTATCGTCATTCTGGCAGAGGTTTAGAAGTGTTACTTTAATGGGACCCTGAACTATCTCCGAGCGAATTGCACAAACTGTTCCCCCTGGAAAACAAGACATTATACTGTCGTAATTCCAAGACCCGTTTTCAACTAAAGAAACCCTAATAGACTTTTCGAACTGCAACGCAAATGCCAATAGTGATCACATTACCTCTGATAATCCATTGATGAAGTTAGTTTTCAGTATCCAAAAACCCAAAACTCCACAAAAAAACGCTTTGTAGAAGACGAAGCACCAGTCGGATCGGTGGGATAGATGCTCTGGTGTGCAGTGGAGAAAAATCCCGTTATCTTCCGCGGAGGAGAAGGTGCAATCTGGTCTCCCCGTGAGCTTATCCAGCGACTGTCAGGAGCGCAGACAGAGGATCACGTGGGTCTCCGTGATGTCTCGCCGGGAGGGGCTGATGCAGCACCTTGGACAGCGCCTCTGCCTCCGCGCGCATCCGTCTATGTTGGTATTTGCGGCCGGTATGTGATACATGTAATGGCAGAGAGGCTTTGCTAAATGGGAAACCAGTGCCAATATTTTGAGAGGTTGATCATTTGGGATGAATTGTGTTTATTTTAAAGCTGGGATACATAACTTTTTTTGTTTCATCACGAATTATGCATTTCGTGTGTACCAAAGGAGAGTCTTGTATAAAGTAATGTAACATGTGGAGTGAGGCTGGTCCTTGCCTTGCTCAACTAAAGACGAGACAGAAGCCAAAAATACATGAAGGTCAAAACTATAGTTGTGGAATCAAAGTGTTTTGAGAGTGAAGAATTATAGATTGGTTGTATTATTTTGTTGTGATGAACATGTCGTCCTCCGCTTTAATAAATTGCATTAAAAGCAAATAATTTATATAGGCTACCACATCTCTACAGCTTTAAGTTTGTCTACATCATATTAAAGAAGCGTGCATGCCTGAAAAGCTTTGTCTGACCCAGGTCTGTGAAATGCGCTATATAAATAATACAAAAAAACACACACACATGTTACCAAAAGTACCTAAACCCTAAACTAAACTAGTTGAATCGCTACATGAGTTCATGACTCAGTGAAACTTTCTATACAGAAACCTGGCTTCTCAAAAAACAATTTGCCAACTTTTCTGGCATAATTTTATTGTATTTATGTTTTAGTGGTATTTTTGTATGTGTTCAGGGCTCTACATCATCATTTATGAAACATTGTTGGTGCTTAGAGGGTTAAAACAAAAATACTATTATTGTTATATAAATTTTGTTTTGCTTGGTTTATTTTTTTTCCCTTTTCAAACATCAGCATAAAATAGAACAAACATCATATGAACACGATGGAGGTGCACAAGCAACACGTCTGATGGCAGCAGACATGATTTTGTTTTTGTCTGCATTGCTTGACTGCGTTTCTTTGCTCTCCTCGCCTGTGCTCATGGGAGAGAACGATATACTGTAAACTGATACAGCCCTGAAATAATGTGGAAAATAATAACAGACAGTATAGTGGTATCGTTTACCATACAATTATTCAAATATCAATTTTGAGATGCATAACCAAAGGGGAAAGTAATGTAAATATGCTTTTATGAATATAGAGTTTAAAATGAGGACAGCTAAATGATTAATCACCGTGGAGACGCCTTATGCCCCTTTTCCCAGCAATGCTTTATTTTATTATTTTATTTATGCTTCATTCTTTATTTATGGCCAGCAGTGTCTCTGTGGATGTACAGGGAGGGTGTGAATGACCAAGAACACACAGTGGGCTGCTCACTATAGCCTATTCCAGAGAGAGAAAGGGTTGCCTCAGTCTCAGCCAGTATTTTTAGCTCAGGAGCATGAAACAGATTGTATTCACTCTATAAGGGTGACCATAATTCATGTCAGTAAATAACTATTATAAGCCTCTGGAACAGTATGGAGTTGTGATCAGTCATCAACTAGATTATTCCAGAACATTCTGCAAGCATTAGAAATGCATTCATTTTATCTTTTTGTCTACAGTAAGCTCTCCTGAATACATAGCTTATACTGGCCAATTTATAATTTAAAGGAGACATGATAAGTGGATGTTTGCTGTGGGTTCCAGCATAATTAAATATGTGGACAAGTTGCCATGTGGTAAATGATGGAAGAGCGTCTAAGGAGAGAGAGATGCTCTGGGAAATGTATCCAATAGTCCAAATGCTTGAAAATGGTCAAATATGTGTCTTTAAAGAGCGACTAAACACCAAATCAACTTTTTTTAACTCATAAACTGCATAAGTATGTTAATTGTAGTGCTGTCTACATATCCTGGTCATTTTTTTAACATTTTAGTTCAAATTAGATAAAATATCACTTCTGAGCCAAAAAACGTTGTGTGGTGCCCTCTCAACCTTTTTGGTGGTACTACATTTGAATTTGGTCCTGGCCTCTCCATTGACTCTGAAGTTCTCTATGACATCAGTTGTTTTGTGTGACGTCAGTCTGTCAGAGCCAGTGATGTGAACCCATTCAACTCTCACGCACGCCCCAGCTGCAGTTTGGAGTATTCTGGCGCCATCTAGTGGATTAAAATTAAATTACATGAGTCATTCTGAGATTATTGAGTGTGATTAGGTTCAGGTGTGTAGCTTTACAATTATCTTAGTGTGTAAACAAGGGTGGAATGAGACTTTCTGGTCTGTAAACTATTGCTTTAAGCAGCAATGACAACTGTCTGCTTTTTTTTTTGTGTGACAAGTGAGCTGTCAATCACAGCCCAGACCACGCCCAACTCTAAGCCCCCCTTCTTGTCCCTTAGTCCTCCAGGTAACTCCCTTTTTAGAGAAAATTTTCAAATCTTCATGTGGGCGGAGTAAGGCTGGGCACAGGTGTTTAGTCGCTCTTTAAGAATACATTATTATTCCCAATTTGTTCAATTCTTAATGTATGATTTTATATTTATATAATATTTATTTATATTATATTCTCTGGGGACATCAATAATTCTGCAATGTCCTTTGAGATGACTACTGTTTTGGGCAATACAAAAATAGATGTGTTTGATTTGAAAAATCAAAAATAAAATATTGTGTCCTTTGAATCAAAGAAAGGTCCTCAAAAAGCTGCATGAAAGAGAAAGCGGGAAGCCACAACTATGATGACATGCTGGTTATCATATTTTTAGTACATTGTAAAGATTAACATTGATTTATTAGTTGGCTCCATGTTCCGACACTAAGAGTTAGCATCTCAGACTGCATTTTTGTTTCTTCTTCAAGTTATAATGACTGCTGCCACACTGCTGATTCATCCTCATATCACAAGCTCAGATGAGAATCAGAGGAGCATGAGGCATCAGTTGTAGGAAAAAATATATACAAAAACGTACATATTAAGTGGAACTTTTGACTTTAAATAAATGGACTTTTCATACCTTAATAATCCATTGAGAGGCTTGTCCCAAACATTCACATACACACCTAAACACAATAATAGAAACAAAATAAAGTCTGTTTGGGATGAGCTGGTTGTGATTTCACCCCAAAGTGTCCATCGAAGCAGACCGTATTCTTGTGTTGGCTCTCTGGTCACTGTTAGCTCCTCATCCACAGCATGCTTCTCTGCCTCCAGCCTCAAGACTGCCCTAATTGCTTTGTCTCCTCTGGGAACCTGCCGAGCCCAAGAGTCCAGCCAAATCCACAAACTCTACTTTAGCCATCAGGCCATGCCCTGTTTCTGACGTTATGTACAGATATAAGGCAAAAATACGCGTTATTTTTTAACAGAACAACTTTGGTTTTTCACCCTTTAACCTCTCTAAACAGATACGGCTACGTCTGCATAGTAAAAGTGATAATGTCTATGATACTAAGCAGATCTATTAGGTTTGCTCCATAATAAGAGTCTGGGTGTTCAGGTTGCAGCTGTGTGATGACAGATTGATGAAAGCAGAGGTAGTGCATTTAACATTAATATAATTCTTGTGTCTGGGTTCAAGACAGAAAAAATATCACAAAGCTGCATTCATATATTAGTAATCCACCTTGCTCTGAGGTGATCCAAAGAACACGAATCGAGTATTATCAATCAACAATGTGTGCATTCATTTACCACAGAATAGATAGTATGTTTTCAAACTCTTCTTTAAGTTGTTTCTATTTTGTTTTTTTCTTTATCATTTATTTCTCTGTTGGAAATGTGCACCAAATATTTGATATTTTGTGAACTTTGTGATGTTTGAGGAAGATTTTTGGTTGTTTTTTCCCTTTGTGCAAAGCTATAATCTAACTCATTTCAAAAAAGGACATGGCAGTGAGTAGTAAGAAAGTAACCTTTATTTACAAAGCATATTTCGTGTAATACAGTCACACAAAGCTTTTTACATGATGTATTTTCCGCTCACTTCACAAATGGTGATACCAAAAGTGGTCCCACAGATCTTCAACCATTGCCAACCAGTGTTTTTAGTTTTAGAGAAAATATGTGAGGACACAGGGAGAACATGCATTACTTCCTATGGTGAGAATCAAGTATTCATCCAAGAACGGCAAAGAACCATCATTTAATATATAAAAAAATAGACTGACAGTCTTTGAACTTTGAACCACATCTCAAATAATTTCAACAAAAGTGATAAATATTGCCATAAGCTACTGTCAAGACAAATCCCAACTCTACCACAGCCTCAAGTTTTTTTTTACTTCATACAAATCAAACGAATACATAGACAAATTCGAAACATTCAAAGAGAAAGTTAAGATTTTTTAAACGTATCAAATCTTTTGAGGCATCATTGCATTATCTGAGATTATACATCAGAGCAAACTGCACAGTCTTTTGTCCGTATAGTTGTTCTACTTTTGGCATGTTTAAAAGCTGCGCAATCCAAACATACCGTCTACATACATTATACATTAATGTAATGGTATTGATATGCTCCCTTTAATATTACAGCATACAGTAAATCCATGGAATTATGAAAGAAAATAGAGAATTCTGTCTCTGTTCATAACTGCACTGATGTATACCACATAGGAAACCAGCTAAACACATCTGGAGTCCATAGACCAACCAAGCTCAGTCTTTGATCATGTTTTGGCATTTGTGTGAGTTCAAAGCCTCTGAGAAAGTCATCAGTCTGTGCACGGCATCAGGAAGGACAGATCCGCCTCTGATCTCTCACCAGCATTTAAGGGGTTAACCCCACTCTGATCTTATGGTAGAATACTCTCTTTACCTCACCATATTTATACTTATAATATATAAGTAAAGTATACTTATTAAAGAGTTGGTTCAATTCATTGCAGACAAACACAGATATAGCAGTCACTATCATATCATGAGATTGTCAGATTAATGTGACTTTAAACCTTTGATGACTGTGATCATGAAAACCATCCTCACACAAATTAGGTATAACATGACAAAACCTAGCTTATCAATTGAATGTTGGAAATATTTCTGATGACCTTTTGACGCTCCAGACCCGTGTTGACATGTCAACTGGGAG